CTTCCACATTTCCATTTAGATGCACTTCAATGGAGAAGTTGGAAAAGAGTGTTTTTGGTTTACTGATTTGTACAAACATGAGTTTTACATTTGAAAAATAGTATGATTTTGGAGGCAAGGTAGACAACCCTGGAGATCTGGGCACTAGCAGGAGGCTACTGCAGTAAGCCAGGAAACAGATGATATGCATCTATAGTAGTGTCATGCCCATGAAGATGTTTGGAAAAAGCTGATAGTGTACATCTGACAAAGATTACAACAGAGAACAATTTGCTGAAAGAGAGAGATGATCAAGAGGTTGACATGGAGGATGATGCTTCCTTTGTGATACAGGAGACATGAGAGTTTCAACAAGATAGACAGCTAAATTTGACGTGGGTCTGTCAAGTGTGTTGTTTACAAATGCTCTGGAATCATTGCACATATGCATTAGAAGCTCAGAAAAGCATTCGGGGCCAACAATACAGGTCGAATAGCTGCCAATGTGAAGTTGGTTTTTAACGCCATGGTGAAGAATATGATTGCTGTGACAGAACATGAAGCGTAAGAATCAAGCCTCAAGAAGAATCTGGAAGAACTATTTACGATAACAGAAGAAAGGGATGTTCACAAGAGCAGGGGAGTGAGAATGAAAAGAGGGAAAGGATTTAAGAAAAGCGGGGAAAAGGGAAACATTACGAAAAATTCTATTCAGGTTTAGGCATAAGTATAAAAGCACATCCAGAAGGTGAAGTGTGCACAAGCTCCGCTATCCATCCTGTGTGCCTGCTTGAAGGTGACCCACACCAACTGCCATGTCTCATTTAAATTATTGCAATAGTTTGCTCTGGTCACTCTGCCTGTAATTGCTACAATTTTTTCCTCCATCTTGGCAAATCTGAAAAATCGTTTCCTTTCTCAAAATCCTCAGCACATTGACATAGCAGCAAAAAATGGAGTAAGACATTATGCATCTGTTTGACCACTCATTCAGTAGTTATTAGAAATTTACTGTGTACCAGACTCTGCTTAAAGCCTAAACTTCCAGCATAAAGCCTAAACTCTTTGAGCTAAGGGAAGAGCCCCATGAGGTTAATAATGCAGCGTAGAGGTACCTCTCCTCACACAAATGCTGCATCCTTTCTCGGAAATGGTTGATCTCTGAAAAGGCCCACTCAGGCCTTCTCCACACAGACAGCTCTCCTAACAAGCCAGAAGGCTTAGTTACTACTCCTTCCATCTGGGTGTGGTCTGGGCAGCGATGCCCTGTGCATGAACCTGCAGCATATCCTCATCCTGCAGCCTCTCTGCCTTCACTGCAGGGGCTTCCTCCACCAAGGCCGGCCTTCCCTGCTGTTTGTTTTGCTTCCTCCCTGAACATTCCAGGTCTGCACTTCACTATCTTCTCTGTCCATCCAGTATCACTAGGTCTGCAATATTTTCATAATTCCTCCACCCTTTTCCTTTATAGCACTTGTAACTCATGACTCTTATTTTATTCATCCATTCTCTTCTCTCTCTTCTTGATTACCTATTTCACTAGGTCAAGGGCTACATATATACTTTCCATACTGCTTTCACCAAGCCGAGTCTGGTATACAGATTTCCAATAACTACTGAATGGGTGATTGAACAAATGCATAATGTCTTAGTCCATTTTTTACTGCTATAACATAATGCCACAGACTGGGCAATTTAGAAAGAATTTACTTGGCATATGATTCTGAGCTTGGGAAGTTTAAGATGGAAAGAAGGAAACTATTGAAGGCCTCCTTGCTTCATCAAAACATGACAGTGGCTGGCAAGCACACAGAGAGATTATGGAGGAGATGGTAAACTAAAACTCATTTTATTAAAAGCCATCCCCAAGATAACTATCCACTCCTCTGAGAAAGACATTAATTCACTCATGAGGGCAGGACTCTCCTGCCTAATTCTCTTTCAAGGTTCTCTTCTCTCAGTATTGTTGCACTGGGAAGTATTACGGCTTGTATTTTGATGTCTACCCAAAGCTTCACAACCTCATAAGCAGGGCTTTACAAAGGTGTCTGGATATAGTACATGTGAATGCAGACTGGGGTGTGTGATAACTAGTCCTTGGGCTCACCATACTTCTGCGGGTGGATAATGGGAAAGCCCACCCTGGATGGTGGCAGCGCCAGCCGATAGGCTTGTTATCTGAATGGAAGAAAAGAGAAAGGGAGCTTCATGGTTGCTGCTGGCTGCCCCCCACCTGTTCTGCCATGGACTGTTTCTCTTCTGCCAGGCCCTTCTTCTAGGCTGCTTTGCCTTGGAGCCAGCTGACTACAGACTGAAATCTCTACATTCCTCCTTTAATTTGTGGGTTTTGGGTATTTTGTCTTAGTAACGAGAAAGTAACAAAGATTACATTTTAACATAGAATTTAAGAGAGAGCCAAGCATGGTGGTATGCGCCCATAATCCCAGCATTTGAAAGGCTGAGACAGGAGGATTGCCATGAATTTAAGGCCAGATTGGGCTCCCTAGTGGGTTCAAAGCCAATGTAAACTGCATAGCAAGACTCTGTCGCAAAAACAAAATCAGAGGGAGCATTCAAACCATAACATATGGCACACCTCTTGGGCACAATTTTGCTTATTCTTCCAGATATGGAATGTCTTTATCTACTTTATCAATTCCATATCAGACACCATTTATTAAACACAAACTCAGGTTTCTTTACAAATGTTATGACAATTTGTCCTCCTATTCACACAAGGAATTATTAACATTTGCATTTGGATCTCTGCTCTTAATGCATACTTCTGTCATGACAGTATTCTATTACACCACCTAGTCTATAAGTATTTCTTTGTTACTTGACTTTCAGTTACTTGAAATTAGGAATTATGTCTTACTTTATGCTTTCCAAAAATAACTCCATTTAGTTTCCAAAAGTTAATGGACAGGAGTAGAAAAAAAGTTTGTTTCTCCTGGCTCCAAATCATTTTGAGCATTAATTGAAATACATTTTTACCTTAAAGACATTGAATCAGTTTAATCTTTTAATCAATAAACTTCAATGTTTATTAAATATATTAAAATCAATATATTTTCCTTTAGATAAGTTATAGCATCTATGTCTCTGTGCTAAATAAACTTAAGTTCTTGACTGTATTTATAGAATTTTTCATATCTTCTCTCTTCCACCAGGGTAAACCTGTTAATTCTTGGTATCTTACTTTTTTGTATCAATAGCTCTGTCATCTCTCACTTTTTGTACTCCAAGGAATCCACAAATGTCCAGTTGTTGATTTTTGAATAAATGTAAGTGAATTCTTAATGAGAAGCCAAGTTTTTCACCTAGATCCAAGGTGCTTCAACTGGTCTGCCTAGACATTCAGACATATGGTTGGTAGCTGTGTTGTGAGTTTCTTTTTCTAGTTCTCAGGTTGATCAGGAAGAACAGACAGCATATCGAAGAATTGCAGAAATGCAAAAGTATATTCCTTTTCATAATGTCCCCAGAATACAAAGTCATGTTAACAAATAAGTAAATAAATCAATAAAGTGGTTATGGAGAAGGGTTCCTCACTCACATCATCTGATAGTAACCATCACAAATGACTCTATGTCATGGGCTGTCCCCCGAAGTCTCGTGCTCATATGTGGAGCTCTTCAGAGGTGGTTTGATCTAGGGTGTGGGATAACTAAATGGGTTTGTATAGTTCTAGGTGTAGATAATGAGAAGGCCAGCCTGGGGGTGGCGACAGTCCACAGGCGTGTATCCTGGATGAACCGCAAGGGGAAGAGGAAGGCAGGCTTGCCGATGCTTTCTGCTTCACTGTCTTGTGCCTGCCACAACACGAACTGTTTCTCTCTGTGACGCCCCTCTGCTGTGCCATCCTGCTTCAGAGCTACAGTTGTGAGCTGCAAGTTGTGAGCTGAGAAAATCCTTTCTTCTTTAACTTTGGGTGTCAGGTATTTTGTCCCAGCAATGAGAAAAAGTAACTAAGACTCTGGCAGAACCACAAGCTTATTCAAAAGCTGCTGCCCTCCTATTCAAAAGCGCTTCTTTAAAAACACATTTAGCAACTGCTAGTCAGACTGGTGTATCTAACATTGTGGTAATTATTGTTCAAAATGTAATTCTACTTATTTTTGCCTTTGAAAACTTGTCCTTATTCCAACTTGGAAGGCACTCAGTTTACTAGGATGTACATGCTCCCATTGCAATATTTTATATTATCTTTCTGATCTTAGGTTGACAATAATACACTAGACAATTTGATCCTAACAAAAATATTTAATGAGCTCTCTATGGTATGTTGAATACATCAAACCTTCCCATAGTATGATCTATTCTGAGTGCCGCTTCACCTGCTTGTTCCAGCTCAGTGATAAAATACAAATCCATCACCACTATCTCTATTAATACCCAGATACTCAGAGTTGTCTACACATTGTCTCCAGGTGGAAAGATGGTTTTAGCCAACGTCCCTGCCTGTTGTCTTTCCAATGCAGCTTTTCACTACCACTAATGGTTATTTCCCTTCCTGTTTGCTCCACTCACCACCAGCCCCCCCCATCTGAGTATAGTCTAAGTTTCCTGGAAATTTTTTGATATTAGATAAGTCTTCTGGAAATTATTTCTGGATGGAAGATCAATCTGTGATTTTGTTCATTTGAGCAATTTGTATGTTTATGTATATTCATATTTTTGTTCACTTTGAGAATTTAGTGGATGGAAGTGGTATTTCATACTTCACTAATTTTATATGATGAGTGATAATACTTCTTCATAAACCCATCCCCATTATCCTTAGTTGAGCATGTTTTTTTCTTACTTTGAGATCATTTCATTAAAACCTCTGAAACAGATAACTCTCAACAATCTCCTATGAAATCTGGCCACTTCCTTTATCCTCCTGCCTGGAGGGATTAATGTGATTTGGGCACAGGGACTTTCACTTACTCATCTCTGCAAGACCCAAAGGAAGAGAATAAGAAGAATTTAACAGTGAGGTGAAGCACGGAACAGAAGTACTTGACACTCATAAATGCATAAAGTTACTTTATTTTAAGTATACATTAATTTTGAAAAATATAAATGCTAAAATATCTCATCTTCTTCATCTCTTAATTCCATAAAAGTCACAATAGAAAGCTTCATAAAACTGTAAAATACTATGTTATAGGAATTTTAGGTTTATATTGGAAAAATTATTAGTAATATATTGAAATGTTTTCTGTTCTTTATCATTTTGTTCCACCATGTTGATCTACTTCATTTAAAATAAAAAGATGCATCATTTCTCCAAAGTTAATAAAGACTCAAGAGAATAAAAATAAGAATATCTGAAAGTGCGTATTGATTCTGAAAAGTAATGTGTATGGATCTGTACCTGCCATGAAAATGGCTCATTACTGTCATGTTGTAGGACTGGGACAAAGTTACTTCTGGCTCTAAAAGTTCACTGGGTGACTTTAACCCTGAGTTGCAATATTTACCTAGGAAACAAAATTCGTAATTTTTATATGTACCCATAGAGCACAAATGAGCCAAGAAATAAGATGTATCCAACTTTTCATCAAAACACCACTTAACTGATTAGCATATATTATGGATTTTTTTTAAGATTTCAGGCAGCAATGGTGCTCAGTGAAGTCATCATCTGAAAATCCTCACAACCCTCAGACAGAGAAGTGCTGTCATCGACTGTGTTCAATCACTAGGGGCCACTGGGCGCCCAGCTCACACTGTGAGAGCAGATGTGAGCTACCATGGAACGTATAAGAAACGCTCAGGTTCCTACACCATGATCACGTAAGTGGTATGAAAAAGACTGAAGAACACTTTGTCCCATCCCTGAACAATGTCAACCTCTGTGATACAACTCAAATATTGTGTTTTTGACAGACAGTCAGCAGTCAATACATTTCAAGTACTTTAACACAGTTTAAAAAAAAAAAAGAACCAAAAACCCAGAAGACAATCATTATTCATATTAAACACCAATAGAGTCACTGTGTGTGTTGTTGCATATGCATAAAATTCACAAAACTTGGATTACTGACAGCAGATAATTTTCTCCCATTCTTTGAGGTGTGGGGCTGAGGGAGGTTTTCTTTTCTGCTTCTTGAATCAGTAAGGCTCCTCCTCAACCTCTGACTGAAGAGGCAGGAGCAATACTGCCTACGGCATATGAAATAATTAGGATTTCAGGTAGTCACACACAGCAAAGAAAGGACAACAGTATCTCCCACAGTTTTTCTCTCAAACGCAAAGCCAGCGGAATGAATGCTCTCTTCATAGGCAGACTCTTACACCATCAGTTCCCGCACTCGGGAACCCTGACCATGAGCTCTGGGTGGACTCAGCCTTCACCCCGAGAAACTTAGATCACGTGTCTCCAGTGCACATTGGAGCAAAAACAGAGAAGTATGTCATTAAAAAATTTCTAGTGTGTGTTCAGTTTACATAAAAACAAAACCACGCCCCAAATCTGTTTAGTTCTTATCCAACCCATAAATTCGGTTAGAATATAGGTAATCTGTTGGCTCTATGTGGATATTGGTTTTGCTGGTCAGTGTGATAACTATCTTTGTTTCTGTAAAAGCAATGATTAAAAGAAATTATTTCCTGGGTTCCCACAATGTTGAAAGGGTTTGCTGTAGCAAATGTAAGGTACTATTTTGTGTTGTAAACACAAACACCAACTATCATCACAGAGTGACAAGCTGCCTCACAGTTGGATTGCAGATAGCTTCCCGTCTACTCACAGGCTGCAACAACAGGCAAAGTGCTTCAGTGGTTCTTTGCCTGGTATGGGAAGGAGTAGAAATCTCCAAATACTTGATTTGTGATTAGAAAAACAAATTATATCCATAGCTTTTATAAAAAATAAGAATGCCTTTGACTTAACATCTTGATTAGACTAAATCTATGATTATTAAACATTCTGTTGATTCTTCAGTAAAGAGAAAGGGCACACTTTCTCACAGAGTTTTTTTTAAGGGTAAACTAAATAACACAGAATAATCATTTTAAGGATAGATCAATATGCAAACATGATGCCAAAATTTGGCAACTGGGGTTTTAGAATGTGTAATTTGCAACTGTCATTTTAATTTAAAAAATGAGGTCATTTTTGTCTATTTTTATAAAATTAAAAGTTTTGAGATATTATAAAAGTAATAATTAACTTGGGATAATAAAATTTTTTATATATTAATCTCCAAGGGGCAAAATTACAATTTAATTAAAATAAAAATGAGTGGAGTCAGTAACTGCACCAAAATTTGTCTGTTCCTAGTTGTCCTCCATCAACCTGTTACTCTGAGGACAGATCACATCTGGGGCTACATGAATCCCAAATTATGATTCAACATTCGAAATGTCTTATTCAATGTATAATGTAGCTCACTAAAACATTGTATTTAAATGAAGGTCTAATTTTCAATGTGATACTCTGAAATGATCACACATGTCTATGTACACATACAGGTTTTACATGTCCCAGTTACAAAGAACCGTGTGAAAGTGTTGTTAAAATGTGTGCACTTCTACCTCCGCTCTCCCCTAACACCGTACGGATGCGTAAGTGAGCTGTCCATAGTCCTGTGGATTTTCTTTTGTCAGTATGAGCTACGGTGTCAGTGGCTGTGACCGCCAGCTGGGTGGTAAGTCATACTTGCCTTCATTTCCACAGTGATATGATTCTTGGGCCCCTCATGTGATTCTCACGTGTGGTTTAGATTTTATGAAAACTGACACACTTAATAACTTTGCCCTCTGTTCACTGTCACTCTTTTTCTAACTTTGCACATATGTGCACCAGCCACACACAAAGCACATACACAAACACACAGATACTTCAGAATGAAAAGATGCCTAACAATACTGCACGGGCAGTCACACGGCCGCACAGTCACCGCTGCGTCCAGGCGCTGTGTTACCGGAGCCACGTAACTCTCTCGGGTGAGGAAGTTCTCCTCCCTCAAGAGCCTTCACAGAACAGTTAAGTTTCTTTTAAAGAATGGGATAAAGTGGATGCTTAGAAACATTGTGTTTCTTCTTGTTTTTGCTTTTTAATCTGATTTGGCCTTCCGGCTTACCCTAGAGATTGTGTATTCGTGTGTGTATGTGTGCGTAAAAATCACATTATATACAATACAATTTTTACAGAAAGCCTGGCAGCTACAAATAAGAGGTAGAACTACTCAAAACTAGGTTTCCTGCTGCAGGAAAAATTCATTTTCTTTACAGTAATTAAAAAAAAGTTTAAAAAATTGACAAAAAATAAGTTGCATGTTAGGCCCCATAATTTAAACAACAAAATCTAGAAAGAAAAATATTCTTCAATGTACTCAACAGGTAAGTTCATTAAAGGGTTAAAAAAAGTTGCATAGGAAAAAGGGACATTCCAGCACTTGCTACCTGGTGGCAACAATTTCTCTACAGGGAGTAAAGTACCTTTGATAACTCTATGACTAGGGCGTACAAGCAAGAGCAAGTTAGAATAGCAGCACTGTTTTCCAGTCCTGGGCAGCTCTATGAGGGGAGAGGGACTCTGTCTGGAGATTAGGGTTTGTTCTGCCAGACAAGAACAAGCCAGTAAGCACAGCTCTGAAGCTAATGTGTTAAGTTCCTTCAGTATTTTAGTAAAAAGTTTTATAAAATCTTTAATACTTTTGACCTCTGCTTAATCAAAGGACAAGGATCTGTGCGTGTCTTGAGTGACAGGGGAACTGGGTTGTTGGAAGACACATCTGAAATCCTAAGAACAAAAGGCGGATTCTGTAGATGCTTTTCTAAGGAGCAGTGCACTAGTGCCTTGATTTTATCTATGTAAGAAAGAAGCAGAGAGAGTGCTGTATTATTTGGCCAGTGATCAAAAATTGAAATAGAACAAAAATTTAAAAATAAATGGCCAGACAAAAAGAAAAAAAAACAAGAACATTAACAACAAAACTGTCAGTTGTAAGAAAGACAATAGGTTATAATGCAGTTTCTGTTCCCTTGCTCCTCCAGAAATAATCATTGTCTTCAGGCTCAACTTCTATTCTAATTTGAGGCACAGCTTTTCCTGGAGTTCTAGGAGGACTAGAGAGAGAAAGAAATGAAAATGAAGAAAAACAGTAAGTAAATCTGATTTTCTTTTCCAAATGTTTACACATTGCACAGAACTCAAATGTACTAATACTTGTTCTCTTTTAGTATGTACTAAAAACAAGATTTTTAAATTTAACTCTGTAAGAGTCAAGAAATTCAGGTAGATACCTCATAAAATTCTATGCTAGATTTTGAAAAAAAGAGGAAAACCTCCCCCAAAGACAAAAGAGGATAATATTGTCTGAAATTAAAGGACAGCAAGACCCACAAAGTGAAGATGTTCAGAGATTCCCATCGTTTGAGAATCCAGTCCCACCTGTCACCTCCAGGGTCTCGTGAGAGGGAAGGAGAACAGAGAGGAAATGTCAGGAAATGCCAGGAAAGGAAATGTCGGTGACCCTTAACTCAGGCACGATGCCGAAAAGATGGGAGCTATGGTCAACCCTGGCTTTAATTTGAAGACTGAAGGAGGCTCTCTTTCCTCGAGCAAGGAGGTCTCTGAGAATGAATGGCACATTCTAAGTGAAGCTGGGTTTGGTCTTTGGGTAATTACTGAAGACAAATCATAGAGAGAAAGGAGAACGGTAAGTTCTGCCAGTAGCCCAGCGCTGACTGCATTTCTGTGGGGAATCATCCCTAGAACACGGCAAAGCACTGTGCTCTCCTTTACCTTGGAAAACCAAGCAACTGAAGGAAAGGAATTTTATCAGCATGATGTGTGGCGTTCAAGGAATGTTGATGATCTTTCTCCTGGAAAGAAAAAAAAATATTTAAAGCAAAAGTAGTAAGTAAAGTTTAAAATTAGATTGAAAATAAAAGTCTGCAGAAAAAAACAAAAACAAAAAAAAAACCAGGATGCAACTTTCAGAACTGAAGAGTAAGAAAGACAATGCAGGCAACTTAAATAGACACTTAATCAAGATAAGAGTCTCAGTAGTAGAACGCAGGCCAAATCGCTTCATTTCCTCTACTGCAGGGTTTCCTGGAACGAACCGATGCTGTCTCCCAGGAAGGACGGTGAGAGGGGACCATTTCTATGGTGACAGCATCTTACGGTCGGATGCTTGCCTTTGACTTGCCTGCCATCTTCAAGACCCACAACTCTGTCTAGCTATTATTCAAGGTGAAAAAGGTTTTCTGAAGTTCTTTCATCACAACTCTGCTTGGATCAGTTTCACTCTTTTATGGATGATAAAGATCATCATGACATCAACTTTCAGTGTGTAGTTTTTTAAGGCTTTTGAAAAAATAAAAGAAGCTGGCACATAAACTCTTACCATGAAATTTAAAGGCTAGCTGGTGAACTTAAAAAAAAAATAAAAAAAAAAAAGATTGTCCCTAGAAGGAATGACACCCAATTACAAAACCAATGGGGAGACACAAGTGTGTCTCAGTCTCCATCTGCCAGTAATTCTCCAGAGATGAAGAATGAAATCAGAACATAGTTTGAGAGCTCAAAAAGAAATTTGGGACCCAATCTCCCTGATGAGAGTGGGCAGAAAGTCCTGCTCAGCTCCAAGTCAGCTGACAAAAGTGAGACTGTGCTAGCTTTTGGTCCTTTAAACCCAGGGTTGCAGCCAGTTTCTAAGAGGCTTCCCCAATCCCCATCTCCTTTATTTATGATCTGATGTGATCTGATGTGACATTTCATCAGTGTGGGTCTGCACGGCTGAGAGGATATGGCAGAGGTACACACTGTCCCGTCTGAGATTCAGCCCCAGTAGACTGCAGCTTCCGTCTTGATTTCTGTCTCACTCAACTCTGGCTCTGGGGAAGCCATGTTCCAGGCAGCTCTGCAGTCAGGCCCACAGGCTAGGGAGCCAAGGCCTTGTGCTTGAGCTTGGAAACCCAGCCTCCCACCCTCTCCACCCCTCTGTATAGTCAAGTCAGGGACTCAGTCCCAGAGGAAAGCTTGATGCACAATCTCTGGAGAGACCCTGAGCTGGATTCCCCAAAGTCTGTTCTGAACTTCTCAGTGTTGGGGAACCATGTGAGAAAGGTGGGCTCTTAGTATTTTAAGCTGTTATGTTTTGTGGTAATTTGTGACTCAGTATTTAAAAACCAGTATATGACATCAACAGTCATTTACTTCAAACTTCTTTGGGTAATTTCTCCTATTTAAATTGAAATGACATTGTCAAATAGAAATAAAAATTTCAATAGTTTTTTTTCCTATAACAGATCAGTATTCTTTGAACTTCACCTGGGTCTAAAAGAATACATTTTCCATAAATGCAAACTCCAAAGTAGTTTGGAGGCAGTTGCTACTTGCTATTGGAAAAGCTTGAGATGCTCACTAATGCTACAAATGGGGAGCCCTGTTAATAATGAAAGAAAAGGTAACATATTACAAGCCACTATATAGTAGCCACCAGGCTATAACCCAGAAGGACGAGTATATTACAATGATGGTTTTGAAATAGCAGAATAGAAATAAAGCAATTAGAAGAAAAATCAAATTTGATTTATACCTAAAGAGCTGTGCTAATATTTTAGATTGGTGACTTAAACTGAAAATAACTATTACTAAATTCTGAATATTGACAATTAATTCTGTGATCATTGAGAAAGCCATGACGCAATTTGTCTTGTGAGCTGATGTGGTCACTGACTGAGACCTAAGGAAGACACACAGTAACAGACAATGATGTAGTGCTATTAGCTGCCATTCTAACAGCAGGGAAAAGGAAACCACTATGATAAACATGGTTACAGGTTTAGCAGTTAAAAAAACTGGTGATGACTTTGGGAAATAGAAAAGACTGCCAAACAAAAATTGTACAGGTTGTATAAGGATAAAATATTGAGTAGAGTGTAGGGAATATAAAAACAAAATTTGATAAGCATGAAGTATGCATCTTCACATGGGAAAAAGATAAAATAGAGGGAAAGTTGATGGAGATGATGGCTCTAAAGTACTTTCTCTGCAAGTGCAAATCATACTGAGCAAGCATGCAAGAGGTTAGTTCTACTCACTGTCAGAAGGTTTGCTATCGCTTAGGAAAGGCTGTTGTTCCATGATGTCCATTGGGATTTTAATACTGGGGACCTTTTCTGAATATGGGCAGTCAGACTGTGAAGAAAATGTACAAGAGTTTTTAGAATGTTTTATTATTCAGGCTTTATCTCCCAATATTGATCAAATCTATTGCACTGTCATTCACAAAGAAGAAGAGCCATATATATATATATAAAACCATTTTCAGTGCACTGACTTTTCAAATTTTGCATCTTTCCCATTTATATTTTTCTCCTTTTTTGTGGGTCCATGGAATTGAGAACACTGAAACCAGAGCCACACCAAGTGACCATCAGGGCAACTAAAGTGGAAAGCTTTCTACAAGCTGAACTCCCAATTAGGAAACATGAATTATTGTTTTACCAGTAAAGCAAAATATTTCTTTGTGGAAACATTAAATCTGGGAGACTTCCTATGCTATAATATGATCCCCAAATTCTTGTTTTCTCGTGCTCTCTGATTTCATCTCTAAGAAAACCTTTATTTCTTTCAAAACAAACAGAATTTCTTTCACTATCAAGGAGCACCTGAAAAAAATCTCTCCCTTATTTTAACTCTATCAGATACATTTAAAGTTTATTTCAACTTCCTTTTATCAAAGATGTTAAAAAAAAATATAGATGAAAATGAAAAAATGAAACCAAAAGCAAGTTTCTATAACGGTGAGAAAATCAGAGAATCATCACCAGGATCAGACGAAGAAACTAGGTGGCAAATCATGGTTCCCTAAAGGACAGGCCACCTGATCCAAGGGCCCCAGATTTCCATGGCATCATCACTTTAACTTTAAAAATTCATTGTACTGAACCCAAGTCTGAGCTGAAAAAACACAGTTCATCTCCTAACTGAAAATATTAAGGTAATAATAATTAATTGGAAGAAAAAAAGAGAAGTAGGTATTTAAAAAGATTTTAAATAAAGCTGACTATGGATACTGAAAATTCCTTTATGAGGAATCTAAAAAGGACATGAGCTATAATATTCCTTTTAGAGAACTAAAATAATACAGTTTAGATTTCCAGAAAAGAAAAACTGATTGAGATGCTCCATGCACTTTATGATAAGAAGAACCATAAGTCTTACATCAAACAACTCCCAAAATAATAGCACGTATAGAAGATCAGGTGAGCAACAACTCTTCAATCACAGGCTCCCAGAAAGGCTCAAAACTGACTATGAGAGGAAGCTGCATTCTTCACATTTCTGCTCACAGAGCTGTAACGCCGGGGCTTAGTGTGGCGCCATGTCTGTGGATCCCACAGCGGAGGACTAATGAGAAAGTGAGCACCAAGAGAGTCATCCTCCAGATGCACACCCTTCAAATCCTGGCCCAACGCACAGGATTCAAAGTATAGGTGTTTTCTAGATCATCTGTCATACCTCATTGTGTAAATCCAGAACACATTTTCACATGCAAAGTATCATTTTGGTAACCCTTTCAAACTGTACGTGTGTGTGTGTGTGTGTGTGTGTGTGTGTGTGTGTGTGTGTTTGTGTGTATTAAAGAAAATGTATCCCAGTTTTTGTTTTGGTATTGATTACAGGTCCCTACTGGACCATCTGTGAATGGCCCAGATTATTTCTGTGAATGATTTCCTAAAGAAAAATAAAAAATTTCATTTCTTAATCACCTAATTGCAGAAGGACCATCTAGATGATGATACTGTTCACTTACTTTGGTTAAAAATTTTAAAAACCCAAATTCCAGTTTCTTTCACTGCTTTTTGCCAAGTTACAGACAGAAAATGACAAATCACTTTAATATAAATACAGTGCTCAGTCTAACATAATAGCATGATTTTATGTGAGCCTGCTCAAACAGACCTATGGATTATGGGCGGTCAAATCACTAGCATTTGTCCACATTAGACTCAAAATTACACAAGATGAGTTATCATCTCAAGTCCCCGGTACTGATGATAACACAGCAAGTATGCTTTCTAAGCAAACTGCTACCGATGGCGCGGAGGCTCTGCAAGCACATGATGATGTTTTAGAACTCACTTTTAATGTGTCAGTGGTTAGAGAAAGCCCCGGTGAGGGCTATGAGAACATAAAGGGCGAATGGTGGAGAAAGGAGTGACAGCTCACAAGACTAGAGGAGCAGTGCTGGAACTCAGTCCTCCAGTTCACATCCGGTTAAAAAAAAGAGCACACTGTTCATATTTGTTTCTTAAAGTTTACAAAGTTCCTTACATCATCATTGTCGCTGTCCAAACTTCCCTTCTTCTTTTTCTTTTTCTTCTCATCCTCCTTCTTTTTCTTGTCCTTTTCTGGAATGACATCGTCGAGGAAGCTGAGGTCGTGCTGCGAGAAGAGGTAATCCATACCTTTTCTGACAGCCACAAGGGCCAGGATCTGCAGGTAAGAACAGACGCCACAGCCAGCGCAGTCAGAATGAGTGCAGACCTTGGCCCTGAGCACAGCCGAGCCCCACGGCCCCGAAGGTGAGAGACAGAATTCCCACTGACTGAGGGGGCTTCATCTAAGGCTATCGTCATCATTTTCTTCATAAAGTTGTTTCATGGAAGTCTCTGTTGAAATTCACTGTTTTGTTCTTTGGAATGTACGAACACATTCAATTAGAATTGTAATATGATAGAATTATTTTGGGAAAACCACTCTTTCGTATTAGGTTTTTTAGTAAAATAGCTAAAAATTTAAAGGCAAAAAAAAAAATAACCTGAAAAATGATTCAAAAATTACAAGGTTTTGCAAATCTATGCTCCACACTGTACATCAAGACACCTTCAAGGAGGTCATACTGGAGAGCACTGTAACACTGGGCTACTTCAACTGCCATAACAAAACACCACAAGCTGGTACTATGCTAAACTCAGCGTTTCATGTGTGCTTACCACTGAAGAAACAGAGCTTCAGTCATTGGGAATTTCATCCGGGCCATGAAGCCAAAATAAAGCAAGAAAAGGCCCAAGCTTCTGCTTCTACAGTCACCGTTCTTGACTCTGTGCCTTTGGTTCTATGAATGGGCCTTAAAGAACAATTTGTTCCTGCACTTCCTCTTCTGAAGGGACATTAAAAGTATCTTTGCTCAGCAGAAAACTCAGTGTGCAGTGAGTTACGGGAGCCCTGGCTCAGCCTCACAGGAGACCCTTGTCTTCACCCTCATCACTCTATAGGTATCAGCTCTCCACCTCCTGGAGAAATGAATGCCAGCTGCCCTACTAAAATAGAGAATGTTTCATGAGGAAACAAAAGCTCTGAAAAAGTTTCACAAAGAAAAGCATTTTTTTTATCATTGAGTATAAGCAATAAGTAATTTACTGGGTATATTTCAAACTGATTTAATTTGGTAGAGTTTTGTTACTGTTGCTTTTTTAAAAAAAACAACACTGGGGCTGGGGATTTAGCTCAGCGGCATAAGCGCCTGCCTTGCAAGCAGGCAGTTGTGAGTTCGATCCCCGGTACCGATAAAAATGAAAAAGACAAAAAACAAAACAAAAAAACCCCACAAAAATCAGTAGATGGGTAGATAGTACCAATAGGTACATAGGCATCATTTCTCATGCTCAGTATTTGCCATATGTTAGTATTGTTTAAGAAAAAAGACATGAGAATATTAAGAAAAACTTTTTTTACTATTTTTTCTGTACTCCTAGGAGAAAAAAAAAGATTACAAACAACAAATCTACATAAAAATTAATCCTAGCTAGGAGTAGGAGGAATTTTACAAAACAAATAAAATATGGTAAGTGTACAGAAATTGTTTCCAATTTCCAAACAGACCAGAGATGGCCTGGTGACCTATGTTCAGTGTACGGAGATTTGTTTGCAAAAATGGGAGAGTCACAGGAAGGTCTGAAATTCGGGACTGCAGGGCTTATGTTTCCTCTTCTTCTGATTCAGAGCGCTGTCATTTCTTTCACCTTGTTTCACTGGAATTGCGCCTCAGGTGGAGAGTTCGGCCTCTCCCTACTTTTGGCATGATGTAAACCACTAGAGCTTCAATAATCGCACTGGATGGAATCTTAGTTTCCAAACACTTCTATTATTTGGACCTGCATGTCCTTTACATTTCTTTACATTAGCTCTATTGCATAATATTTTAAAAATACAGACTCTGCACTGTGGCACTCCCCCTTTGTGTCAGGCAATGTGCTGGCCACTTGGTGCTCAAAATTAATGCTCAGAACACTGACAACCCAATTCCTGTTTTACTGGTGAGCTGACAGTAGGAGGAGTTTATGGGCCTATGTAGGATAAGCCTTAGAATTACAGTACAGATATAGGAAACTCAAACTGTAACAACTGAAATCCGGAGTTGGTCATGCACACCTGTAATCCCAGCAGTCTGGGAGGCTCAAGCAGGAAGATCAAAAACATTTAGAAAGGGTTGGGGATGTGCCTAGTGTGAAGGCCCTGGGTCCAGGTCCCACTCCCACAAACAAAGAATGGCAATTGCTCAGAGTGGTGAGGTCAAAGCTGGAAACGGTCTCACACAGAAAAGGTTTGATACTGCTGCATACAATCACCACAAGCCAGAAGCACGGCCTCCTGACTGGTTCACTAAAGGAGCGCCTACCATAACTGGAAAGATGATAGCAGCCACTGTTGACTTGAGAATCCAGAGCAGGGCCAGACACAACACCTGCAGGAAAGTGAACAGGTGGACCCGGCGCAGGGGCACGTGGCGCAGGTAGATGAAGTCAGGCTGGTGCTTCAGGGGCATCAGGAGCAGCTTGAGACGATCCATGAACTGGGAGGCAAGAGCAAGACAGCATTCCTTCATTCCTGGCTACAGTCGTTCCCCAGACCCCACTGAGCACTGTGATTCATCCGCTGTAATTTAGCAAGCAGTGTCCTTTGCAAAGGACTGGGTAAGGAGGGCAGAAATTTAGTCTAAGGAGGTCAGGTCACAGTACGAGTCTTCATTTTTGTTGTAATTTTGCAGAAATGTTTGCAGATATATAAAATAATGTGGCCACCAAAAAAATAAAGTCAGGGCTGGGGATTTAGCTCAGTGGCATAAGCACCTGCCTGGCAAGTGCGAGGTCATGAGCTCAATCGCCAGTACCAAAAAATAAATAAATAAAGTCATCAATCAAACATAAATTACAGCTACTCATCTCCAGGCCTCTCCTTTTAGTATTTGAGACTTAGAAGAGAGAGTTTTGTGCCCACATGAGCAATGTCATGCTGGAAGACGATGTCTGACTCATATATCTTACTCTGCCTCAGTTGTTATCTTTGGAAGAAGAGATGATGCTACAGATTATATACATTTCAGGAATATTCTAAGGACATAAAGGAAATATTCACCTTACAAATGGGGACGCAGTTATATTTTTATTTATCTATGCTATACCTTAATACACCCAGTCATGTTTCCCCACTTAATTTTCTGAGAACAGCCACATGAGCATTACAGTGACCTTCACCACACATAAAACTCAGTATCTTAGTTTGAGAGACACCAGCACACAGTCATGCACACATGTGTGCTGAAATGATCACAGGGCGTCCATTTGGCCAGGTGCTGCTGAGCTGGCATTGACAACGCTTAATAAGATGCTAGAGAAAACCCACCACAGCGCATTTCAGCAGAAGACGCTCTGGAAATAGGGGTTGAATTGAATAATTACATTACAAAAATCCAGACATGTATCTTTGGGTTTTATGGGTTTTTTATTTGGTTTTTTTCTGGAGGAAAAGGAGACGTGTAAAAGTAAACTAGACCCGGGCAGTGCTCTCTAAAGATCACGTATCCTATCGATAGAGTAATTTTGTCTAGTAGACCTTTCTCACTGCCACAAGAATCTAAAGAAGAAAGAATCAAGAGGAAAATAAGGAAAGGAGAAAAGGCACAGAAGCAGCAGCACTGACAGATTTCAGAAATGTGCTAGGCGTCCCTTACGCACTGCTCTCTCTACGTTGTGATGGGCGCATCCTTCTCTCGATAAACATGTACTGAGTTCCAAACACTCATGAAGCTGCTCTATACACACAGAATCCAAATTCTGAGCTACACTGGGCCATAAAGTCAAACAAAAGTAAGAAGACCATATTTGGGTTTATATTTTTTTCATTCAAAGGAATGAATATTTACAGTGGGGATAAAAACAAGGTAGTCTTAAACATTTATATTCCCCAAAAGTCTCAAGAGCACAAATAAAGTCACAAATACATTAATCTAGTACGGTCGACGAGAAGCCACTTTACATTTTGTAATGAACATCCCAGTGATTAAGAACTCTATTCAATGGACCGAGGCAGGAAAGTAAAGTAGGCTTTTCTCGTTGGGGAGTCTGGCCACTTGCCCAGCCCTATCTGACTTTAAAACCAAGTTAACCTAAATTCAATAAATGAACACAAGGACTATTTTGGATCAGTTCAAATAAATTCTTATGATGTTCACAGAACACGAAGTCTTTCCCCATTAAAACACTATTGAGTGCTAAATGAGGTTACAATTAACAGGATGCCAGAAAGCAACAGAGCTTCCAGCTTCCTGTGCCAATTAAATTAAACTTCAACTGAAGGACAAAGTCCTCACCAAGTTTTCTCTAATGAATTTTTAAAAAGGGGGGTCAGTTTTATCGAAGTTGTAACTGAAGTTTTCCACAACAGCAATATAAAAACACACTGACATTTATTGTTAATTGGGGCAAAATTTGATCACCAAGTTCAGTCATCAGAAATGCAGATCAAAAGAGAAGAACTGCTCTGCTATCAGGGTATGGCTAGTGGATAAGCACTGCCCCAGAGAACACACTGGAAGCGTCAGGTGTTCTTCCTGAGACCAAAAGGAAGATGTGATGAGGGCCAGAGGGAGATGGAAAAGACAACCCGCCGCTCTCTAATGTTCCTGTTCAAACAGCTGTTAACACTCTGTGTCAAGAATGGACACTTATGAGAACATTTGCTAATACCAGCTAACTTTGTTGATTAAATAAGAAATGCAAAGCAGGTTAAAGGTAAAGTACAAAATAAATGTATTTTCTAAATGCAGCAATGATGATCAACACTTTTATTCAAAGATCTATTACTAAGCTATTCTTACTACTAAAAAGGCATGACTTACTCAGATTGGTAAGAAAACTTACCTGTACCCCATTAAGCGAAGCTACTCCCATGTACAGGAACACACCATATAGTACAGGCATAGGAATAAACTGGGAGAGAAAAACATTAGGGAAAGACTTAAAAGAGCAGTAACAAGAACATGAGGGGAAACAGATGGTTTAAATAAAGACTAAATCCAAAACGAAAAGATAAGATATATCAATTGCATGGTATCTCTAACTATTTTGTTTTATTCATCAATAGGTAAACTTCCAAACTCTGTAAACTTCCAAACTCTGTACTAGAAATAAAGGGAGGAGGATGAAGGAAACTTTCAATTTTTATTCGATGCCTTTTATTTTACAATGCACATATGCAGCCTGAGCAGTTGTTCTTAATTAATAAAATTTTGTTTTCCTTAAAGACAGAGACAATGCAAGCCAGATGCTTGCAGGACTATGGAACAGAGTCAGAGGCAGCACACATGTCCAACATGTTTTCAAACCAGCCTGCTAACTTTTCCTGATAACTTCTCCACAGGATATGCAAACACCTCTTTCAGTGAAAAAAGTACCACCCAACTGGCACCTTCCTTCTACACACTTCGAGGAAGACAAGCTAATGAGAACTCTGCTTGCGAGGAGTCTGGGACATCTGGAAGCAATTAATTACACACATGAACTAATATATAGCTCCTGAAACAGAATCAATGCAGTTTACACATCATCTAGCAAAAACATCTTTATAACAATATGAAATGTTTCCATAATAAAAAGTTCTAATATGATCAGTCTGTAAATTCCATGTAATTCTTAGACCTGAGAAATGTGAGCAAACCAAGCATGATTCTGATTCTGAGGAGTCTTAGGTCTGGACAAAAAAATTCAAGTGATTTCAGGATTTTTCAAGAATAAAATACAGACTCTGCAAGTCAATTGTCATGGTTTATGTTGGTGGCCCCCAGGCCTCATGTATTTGCATTGTGCATTTGTGATTGGTTCATTGTCTAGAGCTTAGATATTTGGTGTCAGTGCTACACCCACATAGGGGTGGAGCCAACATCCAACCTAATGGCAGGAAAAAGGTGTGACACCCTCTCTGGCTGGTTTCTGCCTTGCTGTTTACAGCCGCTGTGAACTGTGGCCCTGCCATGCCACCCTGCCCGAATTCACACAGAGTAGGTGACCATTACCAGAAAACACACATGGCTGCGAAGTAACTGTTTATAAAGCCCATGTTAAGCGAAGTGCAATTTCTAGCACTCTTTTTGTGATTGCCTAAGCAGTTCTGTCCGGAGACCCTCGGGCATTGTTAGAGAACTTAGAAACCCAGAATGTGCCAGGACTTCTAGAAGTGTTTCTGGCTGGCCACAGAAATAGAGTGAATACATTTATTTTTAGAAAACACTGAATGCTTTTTCTAGAGAAAAAAAGATTAATGATTTCAGTGCAGCTAATTTTGATCTTGCATTCAGGAAGAGAAGAAGAGGAGGATCCGGCCATCAAGAGAGCCAGGGGCAGGTTGGCAGGCTGCATGGCCCACAGACCAGGGCCCCGCCCAGCAGGCCGCAGGCTGTGAGGCCCCTCTGCCTTGAGAACGTGTTTCTGTGCCTTCAAATGCTCCTGTGCACATTTACCAAAACAAAATTAAAAACCAAAACAAAACAAAAAACCAAAAGAAAACTCCAAAGGGCCATTTTAGTGCCGTAACTCATTTTTTAAAGTTGCTCCATTTCTCCTCAGTATATGATGATTTCTTTCTTTTACCATTTTCAACTTTGAAAGGAAGAAAAGTTGAAGCAGAAAACAGGACAGTTCATTTATAAGGAAAAAGTGAGAATTTCTGCAGTAGTCACTTTCAATTTAAATAAAGCATCTTTTTTAGCTTGAAAAAATGTCCCATCGGGCCCATCTCTGGAGATCTCCTCTCTACTATGAGTTTAGCTAAACATTTCCTCTAAAGTGGGTCTACAGGTGAAGTGGGGGAAGCTATGTTTTGAGACTTAAGTTGACATTCTCTAGGAATTTGACTGGATTATTACCAAATCAACCTCAAAACAAAACTGGAAGGGATCGCTAATGCAGATCAACACGAGTATGAGCAGAAACACAGATTCAAGTATGAAAATGCTTTTCAAACATATTCTTTGTTGAGAAGAAAGGTTAGTAAAGTAGATTTCTGGTCAATTTCAATGTGAGAACAAGCTTATCAAACCTTCTATTTTCTTCACAATAACGTAAGATCTCAATAAGACTGCTTTCGCATGGACCACTTAGTGAAACTTGACAGAATTATTAAGTCAGAAGTTCATGAGTCATATTAAAATGTCAAGTCTTAAAAATCAGTCACACTGGAATTATTCCACAACATGAATTTCTCAAATGAAGAAGAATTTTTTAAAAAGATGGGGCCAGTATAATATGCACAGTAATAATAGATAAATGCTTTTATAAAACAATGCAGAAGAAATTTAAAACACAAAATCACACAGGATTGCAGAGTTATAGGTACATCAAGTATAGCCAAATGATAAAATTATGCAAAGAAAATTATATAATCAATCATATCCAGAAAGCCAAAAAATTAATTACAAAGTAGTAGTACATTCATACATATACTCAAAAATAAATTATTGATCCTATAATCAAACACATCAATGAAACTGGGATGAAAGTAAAACTTAACGTAAGTAGATCATGCCATAAACTTTTCAAATTCTAGTGAATGCACTTCTGTACATTTTCACCTCCATTTCTCTTTGATTTGTTGATAGTGTTAGAACATTTCCAGAAGGAAAAATTTGAATAGGATAAGTTTATTAAAAAGGAGAGCTTGTATGTTCACAGAGCTTAGTGCAGGAGTGAGAGCCCCAGCAATGGTCACCGTGTGTGTGTGTGTGTGTGTGTGTGTGTGTGTGTGTGTGTGTGTGTGAAAAACAGAGTGAGATCCTAATTAACAGTCTGCCCCATAAGTCAAGCAGACTTGGGTTCCAGTTCCAGTTACTAGCTGTGACCTTTAGAAAACTGTTAATTTCTATCCTTTTTCTGCTCATATAGAAAGTGGCTCTGATAAATACTACACAGCAGAAAGCATCCGACCCAGGGCGTGGCTCATCACCGATATTCACTACATGCAGTACTGAGGTTCTCACTGCCATGAGGACCCTGCCTCACAAGTTGAGGGGCCTGAAACTGCAAACCACCCCCTTCAGTCCCTCAGTGACAGACAAGAGTATTGGCCAGGAGAAGGGCTGTAGAAGGTCAGACCGAAAGCCCTCTTTACTTTAGCTCTACTATTTTACCTATGCTGAAATCACAGCAACTCCTTTAGAACCACTTTATTAAAATGAGACCCTAAATCTCCTAAAGTCTTAAAAATCTAAGCTGATGAAGAGGCTGTTAACTTGCATGCTCATCTCTGAACACTGGAAAAACTCAAAGCTCACTGTTGGATGAATTTAGGAAAATGTCATATTTTTCTCCATAATAAGAGAATTAGGAAGCTTTAAAGGGTGACAAATCATGAGGATTATGACGTTAGCTTGTACTGTTAGAGCTGGCTGAGTTCAAATCTTGGCTTTACTACTTAAGAAGTCCACAACTTGGTGCGTTAATTATTCATAACTTTTTCCTGTCTGTAGATGGAGGTAACTTTAGTGTCTGTTTTGAAGATGTCACTGGGGGAACTAAATTGTAAAACTCAGTGCAGAGTCCTGAATTCAATGCCAAATTCAAACGCTAGCAGTCACATCATCATCTTCCTCTCCATTATCTTCCTTGTGTTGTCATCATCATGATCATGTTTCTCTGCTTCGTTGATATGAGCAGAGCGTGACATATTGTAGGAGCTCAAATAATATCTGCCAAGTACAAATTAAATGCTATCTTCCACACTTTAGAACACTAAACAAAAATTAAAGATAAAGTTTGGCCGTGCCTCATGTTAAAGACAAACTAATTCAAGCACAGAGAACAGAAGTACCAGTGAACTTTATTTGATCTTTGTTTCTTGAGGCTTGCCAAAAAAAAAAAAAAAAAAAAGGAAAGTAAGCTCGATGAATAGTCTTTCATCTTTTCACTGTTCTTCTGTCTCCTTGTCTCCCCACAAGCTTCTGGGGGATAACAGGCCTTCTTCCAATGCAGAAACAGCGTGGAAGCCACTAGCCCAGCCTGGGAAGCCAGTCTACCTTGCTTCCCAGCAGTCTAAACTGAATCAGCGGTGAGATTCAACACTTTGAGGCAAGAATGACTGTAGCTGTCTAGGGCCAAGGGGTACCCTCATGAACTAAAGCTGATACACTATATTTATGTCCTTCCACATAAAAGACAGATTTCAGCACAGAGGTCAGAATGGGTTCATAAACTTCAGTTCAAAGTAAGCTTGCATAAGTAGGCATGGGGAACAAGCACCTATACTGCTTAATGCATGAGAGAAAATTGCCAAGCTCATCCACGACCATTAAACTTACAAGGGAATAAGGAATTGGGCAGGGAAGACAGTCTCTTCATTTTAAGAAGGTGCACATTTCTCCCACCCCTTCATTTGATCTGCTTTTCAAAGGCAGGCTCTTAAATAAAACTGTTCTCCGAAGTTATCACTTGCTCCTTTAAGAAACACATGGTCACTGGAAAAGGAAAAAGGGTTTCCTTTTTCAAAGTAACCCCTGATACTACTTTGTGTGAATTCTGAGGTTAATTATTAATGGTGACTTTGCCTTAACTGTCAAGTTAGATTTTAATTAAACTATACCTTCAGTGCCAGCTTCTTCCTGTACTAACTTCTCAAAGAAACTAAGGAGTGACTTTTCAAACGATGTCTGACAAATGCACAAACTCACCAAGCTCCACAGGATGAGAAATGTGATCTAAAATCAAGCAACAACTGAGCCTTGTTTCCAGAAGTTAGCAATAACCTCACTTACTGAAGTAAAAAAAATCCCCATTCCCAATTCTAAGCTATCTTACCCTTGCTGTTTTTAAATAGCTTTCCATAACACATTTTAATCTGTATTGACAAAACTACTTCAGTTCCCACACACTGGGCACAAGTGTGCTTAACAATGTTGACTGAACTAACTTTTGCACTGATTTTTACAATGATCTTTTTGAGTTAATTCAAAGTTGCTGGGTGGAAATGGTGTCAGTTGTGGACACCAGCAGCTGAGGGTGAGCACAGTCTGGACTACTCAAGGAAGGTCAAAGAAACACCAAGCTCACGCTCCCTGATCCCCTACATCTGCCCTGTATTTCAACCTCTTCATGCAGATGTTAACTGCTTGCATCTCAGGAGTGTAAAGAATCACTGTAAAGTACCCAGCTTTCCACTTGAAGGCTTCTGCAGTCAAGCCTGGTTATGGGGTAAGAAAACAGGAAGAGTTACTATGGAAATGCAAGTTTTTTTTTCAAATCTTCCTAAAAATAACAATTTATACAGTATCTGCTCTATGTGTCCCTTTGAAATCATGATTACTCAACTGACAGTTTCTCCAGGACTAAAGCCAATTTGCTGTAACAGATATACAAAAAAAGAAAACTTTTGAATACATCTAGATTCTCTGAACTAAGATTTATACTCTATTAATAGAAGTAAATCATATAAAACTAAAAGACAGAATGAAACCCCGGGCAGTGAGAAGTGAACTTGTACTAATGAAAGGAGTTCTGCCTCCTGATCCCTCTTGCGTGAGTAAGCACTAGGAAAGCCAGAGGAGGAGAACTGACCCTGAGCAGGGCTGCCCACAGTACAGGGTCGTAACTGTCCATAGTGAGCTCCACAGATCACCTCTCTGGATGATTTCAGGTTGCTTGTGAGATCACAATGCCTGTCACTAATCCCACAGCTCATGCACTGACACCCACGGGGATGTGCTTCACCTTCAACCACCCCTAACTTGCTCTGCACTGGCTACAGTGACAGGAGATTTCCTTCTGTCTACACAGAACCTAACTAATCTCAGTACTCTTTTAGGGTCTTCGTGCACAGAACCAGAAACAATTTATCTGAGGCTACTGCTGATTTTAATTCTCTCTGACCTGAGAAACACGGTCCTTTAGCCCGAGATTAATTTAACTGGACAGTTGACATTATGGAAACCAAGGACAAAAGATGAATAACTACGTATTTTAACTGTTTCCCAGGGATTGTGTACCTAATATAAATTTAATCTAAATGCTCTCAAAGTCAGCTATATACATTAAAGCAGTGGTAGCAAATCTAATGTTATTTGCTTTTCTTTTAAGACAAAAGATATTGCTGTATGGGCTGCTTTTTCTAAACTAAAACCTCAATATTCACATTTGATTGCAAATGTGAATAATTGATAGTTATTAATAATTAATTGTTGGCACTTCGAGGTAAGTAAGTGGGTTTTGGGTTGCAGTTTGGGTACTCATCTCTAAAAGATTTGCCACCTCTGGGTTAAAGTTAAGGTATTATACAGTCTCAGGTTCCTAAAATTCATCTGTTTGCCACTGATACAAAATCTGCTAGAGAAATGGAAGGCTTCTACTTTTCACTATCTATAGCTGTATACTGTTTGAAGTCTTTAGAAGAACATATTACCCTACCGCTTCTATAACTGAGCATTAAAGACCTTGAAATTAAATTTTTTGTTTTTGTCTTTTTGAGACAAGTTTTCATTATGCAGTTCAGGCCGGCCTTGAACTCATGGTGATACTCCTGTGTTGGCCTTCTGAGAGCTGGGATTATATGCCTGAATCAGCCACACAGCATAAATTAAAGTTTTGAAAACTAAAAATTTTCAAGAAAAAACTGGAAAGACACTGTTAACAATGATGGTTTGAGTTGTTAAATCTATGAGTGATTTTTGTGGTACAAAGTCTAAGATACAAATTATTAATTGACTGGCATTAGCTCTATTTAAAAACCTAATAATCTTGTTTAATAAGTGAAAATTAAAAACTTTATGAGCAAGAATGTATTGACCTTCTTTGGTCCTATTTCTGCTCAAAAGCTTTCATAGTTTCTATTTAACTACCCAGACAAATATCTACCCATAACCATACCTATATGTTGATGCCTGACTTTCTAATCTACCAGGTAATTTTTCTTCTCCAAAAGTTCACTTCTAAAGCTAATTATAATTTACTAAATCATTTCCTTTAAAAGCCTACTGGGCCTTGTGTTTCAATGACCAGAAGAAAAAATTCATCCAGAAACACTCATATTCTCTGGGAATCTAATGGAGGAGCAGAGGAGACTTTTATAAGAGGAAATGGAGGATAACAAAAGTAGGAATGGACTGAAGAGCAGAAAGCAAAAGATCTGTGTGTGGATGGTGGGGAGGGAAGTCAGCTTGAAATGTATGAAACTGTCCTTTGTGCAGATCAGGAAGTTTAAATATTGGTAATTATTACAGTTTAACCTAGTAACTGAAAGAGTAGTAAGGCCGGGGTGACAGGATAAAAAAGAAAAGAAACTGTTTTCAAAAGTTCCCTTGCTACCGGACCCTTGCTTCAGTGTGCTATAGACCTGATGAGAGTCCCGCAAGCACTTCGTTCCTCATGGCCCAAACGTCTGTCAGAGTTATGAGAAGCAGGAGGCAGTGTTTCACATATTTACCTTCAAGATAGGCGCCATAAAGACCGACAGGCCAGTCAGAATAAACACAAGGGTTCCAGTGACTCTTTGTTCCCTGAAATCAAATCAAAAGATTACCGATCCACTTCTTGTTTTCGCAAACATGCTCTAGTCTTTTCCTATGCATTGACCAAACCAATCGGCTATAAAAGCTTTTGATGTCATGTAACTGTACCTCAAGGACATCAAATGAACTCTACATAACTATAAATTTTTTCTTAAAACCGTTGTAATATGTAATTCAAATTCATAAAGAAGTGACTCTGTTAGGGCTTTTGCTCCTTTTAAATTCAAGAAAGAAAATCACTTCCACTTGGTTCATCAATTAATTTCTGGCCTATGATAGGAACCCCTTAGTTTTTTAAAACTTGTCCTATTGTGTAGTTATATCTCCTTTCCTAGGAGACAAATATTACATCACCCCAAATTCTAATTAACAAACAGTTCAGGGAGATTTCACAAATGCAATAAATCACAGCAGTCTAATTTCTAAATCTACAACAAAAGTACTTTATAACAAATATGATTCCCACCCAACATGCTCCTCCTCCTTCCTGAAACATAACTGCTCATGGCAAGCTGGTGCTGAGAGGCAGGGTGGTTGCACAAAGTGCTCCACAGAATGGAGATCTTCTGCTCCAGCCTTTTGAGCTCCCAAATTCAACAACTGTAGGTCAGAGTTTCAAAAGGCTTATGAAAACAGGAAACAGACTTAAAAATAAGAACTTCTTTTCCTTCACAGAATCCCAAAAATCATGAGCAGATGTAAAACTTTTAGGACCTTTGTATAATTGATTGAACTGAAGTACCAAATCACCTACATTTTCTGTTGCATCATTTAGCCTTCTGTTAAGCGAAGGAAAATTATATACAGTAAGTAGTAAGCTGGGCTGAGGATATAACTCAAAGGCATCAGCACCTGCTGAGTGAGTACACAGTCCTAAGTTCAATTCCCAGAACCAAAAAACAAGTAAACTGAAAAAAATTAATGAAAACTTTTCTGATTTAAAGTCCTTTCTGCACTTGATCTTAGCCAAAAGGCTGAGAAGCAATTAAAAATCCTTTCTGGATAAATTAATTATCACAGCTCTACCTCCTTCAAACCCACGCATTTCCTTAGGAAATAAAGATGTTCAACATACTCTGAAAAACCATTTTCCTGCCAGGTGTGGTGGCACATGCCTGTAATCCCAGCACCTGGTGGGTGCTGAGGCAGGAGGGGTGCCAAACGTTTGAAGCCAGCCTGGGGTACATAGGGAGACCCTGTCCCAGGCAAATAAACCACTTTCCTCTACTGTACACACCTCACTCCTAGAAACTTCGGCTGCTCTCCAGGTGCAGAAGTCTCTGTCTCCATCTTCAAACTGTCGATGTGAGCGATGGAGATGACAGTAGCAGCCACATACCACGGGAGGCCCATGAAGGAGCACACCACCATGAGGACGGCCACCCAGAAGAGATCCAGGTGATATCCAGCTCCTTTCTGTGGAGAGAGGTAATGTCACTGTGTGGGGAAACACTCACAGCTGACAGCTAGTTAATAGGCCCCAGTGGGACTAAAGAATACCAGAAGAAAATAACTCATTTTCTTGGTAAAAGTATTAGAAGGTAAAAGTAGGTCCTTCGTAAGATATTAGAGGAAAGAAACTTTCTCTTGCGCACTGTATTCCACCCTCTAGCAGTTACACACACAGCTCCTCTTACAGCCACAATAGCACATACCTCCTCCACTCTCCTGGCTGTGAATCACTGTTGGAGTTAGATTTAAGTATTGCTTCACTTAGTATTTATTAACTGTGAACTTCTGTGCATCCAATTTTGTAAGCAATAATGTAGATATGTGCCTACTTGGAAGCATTACTGGACTGTCCAATGAAGTAATACAGACAAAGTATCTTGCGGCAACATAAACGGTGCTGGCAGTACTCATTACATGGCAGCAGTTCACTGAATGTAGGCAGCCGTAGCACTGACACAGGTTGCGATGTCAAGGTAATGAGCACCTGAGAAGCAGGTGCTCTGGCTTCTCCACTAGGCAGCGTATAGCAGTTTGATGAATGAGCATACGTAGTAGATGGTACTGAGTATGCAAAGAATAAAGATCCCCAAACAACTCCAATATGGTATAAAGACCACTTCCACCTTTCACAGCCTAGGACAGTAATTAACAACCTCTTACTCATAATCACTAAGGTAAATAATAGCTCTGGAGTCAGAGAGGTTGACTTCAACTATTGCCCAGGGGTCACAATAACATTTACTGACCACGGGAGGAGACGATATAACAAAAAGTCTAGTTCCTCTACTCTTTAGATAAACATTGCTAAATGTCTCCACAGTGTTATTCTATGGTTCTATTTCTCTGTTCTGTTTATGAAGAAATCAAATGCTTGATGGCCCTATGGGGAGCCTGAGGGAACAGAACAGTCAAAATTCACAGCATGGAAGTGACCCTGTGGGTCAGAGTGGAACCTTCCCGGGACAGAGAAGCCACTTTCCAGCGCACAGTTGTGATGAGCACCAGGGAGGCAGGACTGCTCTCACTCAGATCTTGTTAGATGCTGTGAGGACACCACTCTGCCCTGGTTGAGGTGCTTGCACACCTGGCTCTGGCCATGTGCTCAGAGAGCACGTGGCAGGTGAAAGGTCTTGGCACAAGGAAGAAAGGTTTGTGCTCATTTGGTCCAGGACTAGCTGAGAAAAAAAAATCTACTCATGGAAAAAGATATTATAGAGATGTAGGAAACAAAATCGTGAAGTGTGGGAGCAGAGGGAGGGAGGGGAAAGGAAGGTCAGCGTGGGATGCTCTGAAGTAAACACATTAGTAATGACCAAGGTAGCGAATATCACGCTAGATCTGAGATCTCAGACATTCATTCTTCCAACAAATACTGGCTTGCAAATGTGGTTCTAGCTGCTGGTAACATATCTGTAAATAAAAGAGATGACAATACTCGCCCTTGTGAAATTTGTCTATGGAGGGAAACAACAACCAAAAAAATCACATAAACACACTGTCTTCTTTAAGATACACATATCCTAATAGTAACAAGTACTAAGAAGTGTAAGAGCTCCAGCTTGGACACTAAGAATAATGGGAAACCGTGGGAGAGTTTAGAAGGAGGGAGGAGTGACATGACTTGTCACGTCCTCGGCCTTCTGACTGCTGCCCTGGGCACGACAGGCCGGTGGAGGACAGCGATGCCAGTCAGGGAGCTCCCAACACTGTTCCTGAGGAAGAAGGCGCTGCTGCACGGCAGACGGGGAGGGGCAGATTCTGGCTGAGCCTCCAGCTGCCTCTGTGAGATCCCAGCTCTCCTGCCAACTCATGCCTGCTGACCCTACGGAGGAGCCTCCCGTTTCCCTGCCTGGGTCTCCAGCATGAGCACTGCTTCCTACCACATCAGCTCCTCAAACAGTGCTCACGCACTAGCGCAGTGTGGGCATCTGTCCATGTGGTCTCACCACCTGGGGCCAGCTACTCACGTCGCTCTTCCTCCGCCCAGCTCACCTGCCCTCAGCAGCTAAGCTAGCTTTGACTTCTCTGATGATCTGTCTGCCTCGGCCCAGGTTTGGTGAAGTGAGGAAGGTTAGATCTTCTTCACGTCCTCTGCTCTCCATGTCTCTCTGTCACAGCATTCACACTGTCTGACTTGTATCTCCATCTTCGATATTAAACTGTATGTAAGCACCTGGACTGTGCTTTTTGGTTTTCTTTCATTCTGAATCCCTCAGCCATTAGAGTAGATGATTCACAGTTGATTGTCAATAAAAGGGCAACTATAAACTCTTAACTAGCCTTATAAAAATGAAGGCTGTGTTAGCTGATAAACATATGAAACACTCAGGGGAGGAGGGAGCACAACAGCTGAACCATCACAAGGCTTCAAGCTCTGTTCAGGACAAAGCCTTCAAGTCCTATTAGAGCAGCCAACAGGCATATTCCCTGGTGCTGTTACTAGGGAATCTAAAATCATTTAAGGATGCACCTGCTGGCCAGGTCAATGAACCAGAGAGCATTAGCATGAGAGAACATCAGCACACTGCTCTGGGCTGGCTTGATGCTCTCTTGATCCTTCAATGGACACAAACTAGAGTTAGCTAACCAAGGACAAACACAAAGAAGGCACATGTCTCTAATGAGAGTGGAAAAGGATTTCAGATCACAGAACAGGAAGCTAACTGCATGATCATCAGAATAAATAAAAATTCTAGGGTATAATAATTATGGACACATGATTATCCTGTGTTCCTTGAAATAATTTCTTCCAAAAAATATCATTTCCTCTGAGTGTGGTAGCACAATCTGTAATCTTAGCAATCTGGGAGGCTGAGGCAGGAGGATTGCAAATGGACATCTTAGTGAGACCCTGTCTCAAAAAAAAAAAAAAATTAAAATGCTAAGGATATAACTCAGTATGAAGACCCTGCATCCAATCCCTGGCACCTCCCTCGCCGAGGCTTCTTTTTCTCCACTATGCTGACACTTTTCATTCTTCCTTTTTTAAAAGAGAAGAATATATTTATTGATAGAAAGCTTCTGTCTAAAACAGAGACAGAAAGGTACTGAGCAGGTTGCCAAAGACTCTGTCTTTTCTAGGGACTTTTACAGAGAAAAACCATGAGGTGAGACAGGTGGGCCAAGCTGGGGAGAATACAGGAACTCACAAAGCAACTGGGCATGAGGTGGGACAGAACTACAGTCAATCAGTAACATTAATCGTTCAGGTAAAATTGACCAAATTAGAGACAAATGGGGAAGTGAGTCACATAGCAAATGGGCACGCTTAAAGAGCAGTAACTCTTCCTGCAGAGGGCTGGGATGGTGACTCCTGGCTTCCTCAAGGCAGTCCATACCTACTTAGAATACCAATCCCTGATGTTTATAATTAGGGTGTGGTTGCAATTTTTTTGCCTTTGGTCTTGAGACCTGGCTTGCAGCACAGGTGTCTGTCTCCTCCAAGGCTGCAAGGTAACTGGCCTTCATCACTGGCTCCTTCAAGGGCCCAGGCCTGTCTGACTGCCTATATTTCTAACTACCTCAGCTGCCTCAAACATTCCCCCATCTGTTCTCACTATTCTTAAGAAGGGAAAAATAGCCACCTCTTAAGGCCTGCTTAGTCTGCTCCACCTCCCTCTTCAGCCTCAACTCCCCTCGCACTGTAATCACACAGACCCATCCACTCTGCCAGGTTCCTTTATCTGGAACCACAATGATTCCTCTGCCCACCTGAAAACTCTTCCTCCACCCACTAGCACTTGGCTAATTCTTATTAATGTCTTATATCTCAATATATAAAACACTCTGGAAGCTCTTTGCATCTCCTAGCCTAGGTCAAACCCTCGAAACACACTTCCCCTTCCTGGCACCAGCCATAATTATATGAGTTCCACTTCTCTACCTCAGGAGTCAGAAGCTCCGTAAGGACAGAGACCATGGGTGGCTTTTGTTCATCACTGAAACTCTAGCACCTCGTGTAGAATCCACCAGAGTCAGCATTCTAGTAAGCATCTTGCAGATCAATATCAATCTGTTCATTCAAAGGACCTGCTGGACTCTTGAAGTAGAATTACCACTGCCACACTTGCCCTGGAGTGGTCTACTGTGGTGGCAGGGCCAGATCAGTAGGCCTTGATACATCAGCTCTAAAGGGCTGCAGGAAGGATGAACTCATACCAAGGAACACCAGGAGGGTGTAAGGTACCACACTCAGCCTGAAGTCAGAGATGATGCTCTGCACAAAAGGTAGCGCTTACGTGAGTCCTGAGTGAGCTACAGCCAACTGGGAGCTGATACAAGCAAGCAGCACAAAAGGCAAAATGGGTGATGGACCATTCTGAGGAAATGAGATAGAGCTGATGCAAAAGAGATGAGAGAGATAGGAAACCAGGTTAAAGAGGTTAAGATCTTTTACATTTTGCTGAAAAGACTTTGGAATTTTTTTAGCCCTAAGAACAATGGGAACTCAGTGAAAGGCTTTGGGCAGAAAAGTGACAGGATCCAATTTCAGTTTAGAAGTATGGCTCTGTGAATTTGTATTGGAAAGTGGTCAAGTGTGAAGAAAGAGACCAGACAGGAGACTCACAATCCAGGCAGAAGACTATGCAGCTTAAAGTAACAGCAGAGGGGAAGAGTTCTGAAGATTAAGTCCAAAGAGGAAAAAGCAACAACTTTATTTTGCTGAATTTCAAAGTACAGAGCTTACCTCGTCCAGGCTCGCGTCCACCACACGTTGAACTTGGCATATATATTTGTTAGGAAGAATGGTAAAAGCTGTGCTGCAAACCACACTACACCCCGAACTTCTGTCATGAAGATTTCAGGAGCCAACACTGACACCGGAGAAGCTGCTCCTGCGTGCTGTGCATTCTTCAGAGTGCGTCAAGCTCCGCTCTTCCACAGCTTACACCCAGCTCTGCTTCACATCCGCACTCCTCACTGCCCAGGGCTCCTCAGCACTCAGGGCTGCCCTTGCCACCAAG